GAGAATGAGACTGGCGAGGAACAGCCTGTGAGAATGAGATTGGAGAGAGACAGCTCGTGAGAATACTGTTTTGTTGAATTGCGTTTGGCAAGGGTGTGTTTATGGGATGCTGCCTGTATTCAAACAGTTAATAATTACAGATTAAATAATACATTATCTTGTTAAGTATTTTGATAAAGTTATGCCAATTTTTTCTTGTTGTATTTTAACTGTGTTGCGGAATGAAGTGTGTTTTGTTTAAAGCTTAGACCAATTGAATCATATCTTGAACACAGCGCCTTACCTTCACCTTTTAAAAAAATATAAAAGTTAGGGTCTAGGCTATCTCCATAATATACTTTGAGGGGGTCTGGTCTGGTTCATAACAATGTAATTAAACACACTAGAGATCGTCAAGCAAACAGAATCCTGTTATTTTACATCCAAATGTCACAAGTAGGTTAGCACAAGAATGGTAACATGCAATTTGCAACAGAGCCTGAATATAGGAGCTTAGTTTCAGAAACTGGCATATACCTAAGGGTGCCACATCCCAATCACTCTCTCAGTGCTAACTGACACAAGAAAAGTTGTTGCATTTCTTTATTCTTTGTTGGGATATGAAGGCTGGCATTTGATACCTGTCCCTGGCCACCCTTGAACTGAATGGTTTGCTAAAGCATTCCAGAGGACACTTTTGTGTTCAGAATTGACTGTCTGGCCCTGGGTCTGGATTCACATGTAGACCCAGACCAGATAAAGAGGTCAGATTTCCTTCCCTCAAGGGCATTGTTGAACCAGATGGGTTTCCCAACGATCAATGCCAGTTTCTTGTCACCGTTACTGAGTCTAGCTTCCCATCCCTGACTTGATTTAATTGAGTTTAAACTCCACAGCCTGTCATGATGAGATTTGAACCTGTGTCCCTAGAGCATTGTACGTCACAGTCCAGTACATACAACGTGCTGCTAATGTGGAGGAAATGGGTCGAGGGACTGTGTGTGTTGGTGTGATGAAGGGGTAGCCCCTGTGCGTGGAGGGGATAGGAGGGCCGCTGAGTGGTCAGCAAACAATGAGAAGCTTCGATTTCGGAGCAAGGTGGGGGGTGGGGTGTGGTGGTTAGCGTAACTTCTGGACAAGGAAGAGACCACTGAAGGGGTGTGGGATCTGTCACTTGACCTGCTGAGGTCCTGGAGTCTTTTCCGTGATCATTTCTCAACGCTGCCGGAGCAGTGAGGGCATTAACACTGAGTGCAAGTGCATTCCCTCTCTGTGTGATGTGAGTGAGCTGTGCGACTACCATGGCAACACACAGGAGGCGCAGACTGGCCCATGAGGTGATGAGCTCACTGTCACACATCAGTTATCCTCTCTTATTCCAGCGCTGTTGTGTTCTTTAATGCTTTCGGACAAAACGGGTCGCAATACGTCAATTCCAGCGAACGTATTGAGTGAAATTTGTTAGTTGGAAAGACGTTTCACGTATTTTCTCACTAAATCTGCATTTCAGTACGATTTCAAACCTTTTCCCTCGATCACGAGATGAAGCTGTCAAGTTGCAATGTTGATGTAGGAATTTGGGTAAGTGATTGTCTTATTTCAGCACTTATTTTCAGCCTCATTGACAACCTGTCAGAGCGCATCGCACAGCCTATTGTGTGCTTGAAGGATTTGGGTGCCAATACCACTCAGAGAAAGATTTTCTTCTAAGTGACCCTGGGCCATTTTTAAATGTCTTTCTGTTTTGTTACACGCCATTCGTTACCTCACAAAGCAATCCCCACTGCCTCGAGGTGATCAAACACAATCGTAGAATCCCTATGGTGTGGAAGCAGGCCATTCGGCCCAAGGCCACAGTTCCATCACAGCGTACCATAGGGATTCGCATCTTCATGTCCATTAACGGTACACACCTGAGCGCCTTTCACAGAATCACAGGAGAAGGCCATTTGTTCCATTGCAGTGTGCTGCTTCTACAAAGTCTTAGTGCCATTCTCCTGCCTTTGCCCCATAACCCTGACATTATTTAAATGGAAGCAATCTCCAATATCCTCCTGAATGCCTGAACTGAACCTACCTCAACCACACTTCCAGGCAGCGTACCCATACCCTAACTGCTCGCTGAGTGAAATTCCACAACACATTTGCTCCTTTTGTAAATTACTTTGTGTCCTCTGGTTCTTGTTCCTTTTACAAATACAAGCTTCCCTCTATATACTCTATCCAGAAAACATCTATCAGATTTCCCTCTCAGCCTTCCTTCCCCAAGGAGAACAGTCCCAGACTATCCTCATCACCGACGTTTCTCATCTCTGGGATCACCCTTGTAAATCACCTCTGCTCTCTCTCTCCAATGTATTCATAATTTTCCTGTAATGGGATACCCAAAGCTATACACAATACTTCCTGCTCCTCTGATGCTGCTTGGCCTGCTGTGTTCATCCAGTTCTACACCTTGTTATCTCACAATACTCCATCTGGGCTCTAACCAGGGTCTTGTACAAGTTCAACAGCAACTCCTCTATGCTTTTACTAATAAAGCCAAAGATAATGTATGATTTGTTAACTACTCTCCACCTGTCACATACACACACACACACACACACACACACGTGAACATGCACACACACACATACAAATACACACACACACGGCCACACCTATACGCACATACATGCAAACACACGACACACACACACATGCACCTACACTCAACCACACACACACACAAACATAAACACTCGCACACATACACATGACCACCTGACTGCACCACCCCTACCACCCAAACAAAGACCACTCAACCTTCTCCCTAACCAATTCCTGACCACCCAACTACCTTTGAACTACCCATCCAGCACCCTGACCCAACCAGTTTACACCCAATCCAACTTATGACCATCCGACAATGCACAAACCCTCCCACCAGCCCTCATGGCCACTCAGCCTCCCAACCTGATAGCACCCCCCCATCACCCCCGCTCACTCAACATTTTAACCATTTCCCTAGTCACTCACTAACCCACTCACCCCCATCCCCCGTCAATTCACTGGGTGACTCTCTCCAACACTCACTCTATCACATCCCCCCACACACTAACACACTCCCTCATTCACTGAGTCACTCACCCTGTCACTCACTCATGACCTCCATACACTCACCCACTTTCTTATTCAGTCACCTATTCATTAACTCATGACCTATTCATTAATGCAGTACCCCACTCACTAACACACTACCCCACTCACTAACACACTACCCTACTCACTAACACACTACCCCACTCACTAACACACTACCCCACTCACTAACACTCTACCCTACTCACTAACACACTACCCCACTCACTAACACACTACCCTCCTCACTAACACATTACCCCACTCACTAACATTCTACCGTACTCACTAACACACTACCCCACTCACTAACAC